AAGACAGCTAGCCAAAGCGATGGGATGATAATTAGAAGAAATCTTGGGATCCGTCCCAGATTTAGAGAAAGAGAGGCCAATAGCCTGGCATCAAACAACAGGAAAAACATGCTCATGCTAGATCTGGTTAAAATAACCAGAAGAATAGCAAGGGAGGTAGGAGAGAGAGATGGTGCAACATTTCCTAATGAACTTCATCAGGTCCAACCGGTGTACTACAAGACCAATGAACAGCAAGTTTGAGTTCCACTAGTGTAAAGGGGCAATTATAGTTACAGCAATGATCGACTTCAAAGGAAAGAGGTGATCGCTCTGCCCAAGACTTGATGGCCAAGAAGACAGGGGAAGAAACATAAGTGCTAGATGTACGAGAAAAGCTGTGGCGAGAGCATCAGCAATGCTCTGGACATCAGCAACTTCCTGGCCATTTGAGAGCATGATGGAAAGGGGATGGGAAGCATACCTCCCAGTGATTTTCTTAATCTTTTCTCATATAGTTTTGGAACTGGTGGTATAAAAGATGCTAGTAGTGAACTAAATCCAAAACTCCTATTGGCTTCAATGTCGAACCTGCCCAGTGGGGACACTAGCCTGCTGACAAACTGTGCAGTTAGAAGCAGAGGGATACTGTTGGGAAGTATCCCAGGCCAGTTTATGAGCCTTCCATGCCTCCTGGGAGGCAATTCTTTACCATGGTTTGGTTTGTTATGAATTTCGCACACAAAGCTACATGACAGCCATCTGCACTAGCCATCCCTAATTTAGCAGTGTAAGAATAGAGGAAAGGCAGCTAGTCATCACCACCCACCAATTGGATTGACCATCGTATTATATTGCACTACATCTGAAGGGGTGAACATGTTTGGTGTGACAGGGATTTGAACCTGTGACCCACAGATTGCGAGATGAGGGCCCTGAACAGCTGGCCATGCTCATCAAACTTACTACTTGTCTTGTTTGCATTAATTTTTTATATATCCATATATTGTTTGTTTGTTATGGATTTTGCACAAAGTTACACAAGGGCCATCTGTGCTAGCCATCCCTAATTTAGCAGTGTAAGACTAGAGGGAAGATAAGTTGAATAATTTGTCTTGTTAAAGGGTGTTCTAAAGTAATTGAATCCACCTGTGTTGACTTTGTCGAAAAGGAGACAATTATTTAAGGTTCCGGATACAACTGTGGTAACCAACCGTAAGTGAATTATTCACTGTTACTATTTTGACAAAAGTAGAGAAAAATAGTTTGTCTTGTCAAATAGATTCTAATCGGCCTAAATGGCCTTTTGACTAGAAATAATTATTAAGAGTTTGAGATACAACTGTTATATCCACAGTGTAAAGAATTTGTGTACATAGTTTGACCTGTTTGAATATATTATTTTAAAACAAATGGAATGTGTGTGCTGTTTGTTGTCGAATTTTATCAACAAAAAGTCCCAGACACCTACTGTGTAAGAATCTTAAGCCCACATATACATTTAAAACACTGACAAAAATGTAATTTATAATGTTGATGCATCATATTTTTTCATACTTAATG